ACTATACTATATATAATGTGAGCATAACACCAGATGTACTCTAATGGATATCTAATTCAATTTTGTAAAGTCGTGGTTTTTACTTTACATCTGAAAGTACACAGAAAATATTATCCATGAAAACATAAGCATTCCCATGTGCTAAACAGGTGAAAAATACTCCCTTCTCCATGTAAATTCTTGTGTTACTGTTGCAACAGCTGTGGCGTATACTACTTAGAGTTACAGACATAAGTAATGTAATTGTTTACTTTAAGTTCCCATGTAATTATTTTCTTGGCAATACACAATACTCATGCCTAAGGAAGACTCTGGGAATTATACTTGAGCCTTGTCAACCAGGTACATGCAGTAGCTGTTTTTCTCTCATGGAAGAGTGTGCTAGCCATCTAGCTGTATTTCCATAGCTAAATGGGTATCCCTCCTGACTGATATACACATCCACAGTTAACAGTGATTAAGTTTTCTTGTGCTTGGAGTAGGACAGGTCAAAACTGGTTACAGTTAAATAAGAAATGTTGTGGGGGAGGGAGAAGGATCAGAAATCTGTGTATCTCAGGTTAAAAATACTGCTCTGCTTAAGTGAAATTGTAAATAGCTCTCTACTTAAAATGTTACTCATCACCTTACACAAGGTTGGGGATACCCCAGTTACCAAATTGCAGTGCATCTGTCATTTGTTTTTCTTGAAAGATTATTGGACACAGAAACTTCTTTCCTTCAAGTTTCTAAATTATCAATTTCATAATGATGCATACCCTCCAGGTACCCCTCCCCTCTTCAGCCCCAAGGAAAGCAAAAATGGAAAAGAAGAATGAACTTCAACTTCTCATTTATAACAGATCTAAATTTTTTCAGACCACCTATATCTTTCTTCTCATGTGAACATTGAAACTACACAATAAAGATATGGTTCACACTATTATGCACAATTAAAATTTGCATAATTCTTTTTAATGTTCAGCACTGACTGAGACCTTTTTTGAAATGTAGTTTTCCTTCAATAGAACTTGGCAGTTCATAACCCTTAATTCACCAGATGTCCTCTAATTTTTGCCTGCAGCTCCCTGCAGTCTTGTGTAACATTCAGAAACTCTTTTTGCAGAAGGTCCTAAGTGGATCAATTAACACCTGGCTGAATAAATCCAATTGTTAAAAGCTATTATTATTGTAATCAAACAGACAGCTTTTCCCCTTTGGGTCATTTGGTACAAGGGCAAATTTAGCTCCCTACTAATAACTAATGGCTTATCAACCAGAAGCAATGTAACCTGCTTCTAATTATGGAGAAGAGGCAAGCTCAGGAAGTACTTCCACAGTTCACATACGTAAAATACAGAAACTTCAGAAATTTAACTTTGAATACATTCTCTTGAAATCACCTCAATTGCTTGTCATTGTAATTGTAACCTCCTATCTCTACTGCAGCAACCATTTCCCTTGGAAAAGGAAATTATGTTCCTTCATTGCTTCCATGATGATGCTCTCCAAATAATGAGTATAAAATTAGCCATACTGTTTCCATAAAACTTTAACAGTTTGTTATCATAACATGTAATTTAAGCCTTCTCCATAAAATATCTGCTTACTGAATGCATAACATTCAACAATTACTTGATAAACATCAGCCTCCATGACTACTTTCAAAGCTACTTAGTAGCCAAGACCTCCACAGTTAATTCATATCCAGATTTGCTTACTACTGAGGAATCAAACTTCATATTAATTTTATTGATCTTCCACAGAATTTCAGCTACAGTTTGCCAATACCAACCCTGTGTTTCTGCACAATCGCATTACTTCCAGATACGGGACATTTTTAATTTTGTAGGAAAAAGACCAGTGCTTACAGCAGCAGCATGAATGGAAAGGCAAAAAGGTACATTTCACCGTTTCTAAAAGTTAAATCCAGTCTTGATATTATGCTTAATCCAGAAAACTCTAGATGACAACAGCTGAAGAGTAACTTAAAACCAATGTGTTCCATAAGCCCGATTGTTCTACTTCTTCCCAGTTTGGGCTTTCGTGTTCATTTTCTAGGTGGGTTTGATCTTCTGAAGATGATTGAGGAACTCCCTGACACGTTTTATAGTTCTGTGGCTTTTTGATGGAGGGCACACACAGGAAGAATGCATACTTGCTGTCTTTATAGCACATGAATGCATTTTTTGCATATGAAGCTTCAGCTTTATGGAAGAAGTAGAGAGATAACCGTGGTTTTAGTCAGTGCAACAGAGCAAAATTCAGAGCCTGAAAGTTCAGGATGGCCAAACGTACTGTGAAAACAGAAGTAGCAATGTGTAATACAGCTATGAGTAACCTGCTTAGCTTTGCTGAAGATACAGAGAATTAAACAAACATGAGGGACAAACCAAATTTAATCTACCTCAGGTATGTAACAGTACTATAGCTATAAGCTCATCCAAAATTTCTCAGATATTCACCTGATTTTTTTCAGGAAAATAATTAATTTTGAGTTGATAATGTCAACTTCAACCTTCTTTAACATTGTCGAAATATTTTGTGCAGATCTTTTCATTATAAGCTCCCTATACTTATGATTTGCCTAGTGAAATGCATCCGTAAGTTTGGATTCGTATCCCTCTCTTATCCTGGTGCTTTATTCCTTGCCCATAAATTCAGTCCTCTCTTTGCACATCAGAATGACTACAGCTTAGCTGTTGAAATTTGTTCCAGTCCTGGGTATTCAACCCACCATTAACTTAACTGCTCCTCTAACTTCTTCCTGTTCCTCTTCCCTCTTTCCCTTCAACTCACTTACTATTCAACAGTGTTGCATAGTCTGAGTAAGAAGGTCTGGAGTACAGCTAGTTTTCTACTGGCTTTTTTATAATTCCTTCCTTCACCCCTTCCCACCACCCAAATTTCATGATTGTTCCATACATTTCTAGAATTGTTTTCTCTGGAAACTGCCTGCTGTACACATGGCTTACTTTTCCTAGAGAATGCTCCCAGTAATTAGATCATATCCTTTCCTGCTCTGCCCTGTCCAGCAAAGGACATTCTGCTCATTTGGACAATACACAAATTTGGGGCATATCCCCACCATGAATTCCCACACAACTTCCAAGAGGAGCAGAGCATGCCGCATTAGTGGCACTCTCCATAGCACCAAGTTCCAGTGCCAGAACTGGGCCAAGTACGCTAACAGCTCTACCAAAAGCCTACGACTCTAGGCTGGAGGCCACTTGAACCTCAGAAACCTCCCAAACAGGGAGCTCCAGGAGGTACTTGCTCAGAAGCATTAAACTTATTCTTTCTACGAAAGTCTTTCCTATAGTGTCGAAGCAAGGGACATGGAGGTGTTCACAAGAAAAACCAAGTTTTTGCTATAAATTTGTGAAAAAAGACTTCCTGGCCTATGGCCAGTGCAGTAGCTATTAAGCACCAGTTTTGTGCATTCAGTTGTAGTTAAAGACAATATCAATGCAAAAGACTGCTTGCTTGATCTCAGATCCTTGGTTATATACATTTAAAACCGGCCCCTGGGCAGAAAAGAGGAACACGAACCAGTCATTAAGTTTTTTTATGGCAATTGGAAATTAAAATGAAATATCTCAAGTACTGGTCTCTCAAGAATTGTATTTGCTAAAGTTTCACTTTTGTGAGTGAAGCTGCAGTATTGCATTA